AGTGTACTAGGTCCTACATTGTTCCTTATTTATATCAATACATTAACTAACGTAAATTTTTTCGGCGGTCGAGCATTTTTCTATGCCGATGACACCGCAATAGTTTTTACGGGAAAGAATTGGAACTCGGTATTTAGAAATGCTGATTTTGGTCTAATAATAGTTTCAAAATGGCTCCAGAATAACATTCTTTCCTTAAATATTGCGAAAACTAAATATACATATAATGCTTTACGATTAATAATAGAACTCAACAAAATGATAACAATAGTTTAAAGATAAATTATTGTGGCATTTCTAATAGTTCTAATTGTAAGTGTACAGTTATCGATAAGGTTGTATCTATACAGTATTTGGGGATTGTTCTGGATCAACACGAACTGGCACTTTCAAGTTGAATATAGAGTAATATGATACGAAAATTAATTGGAATATTTAGGAAACTAAGACATTTCACCTCTAAAAAACTACTAAACCAAACATATACTGCATTGGTACATTCCATAATAGGGTACTGTGTTTCAGTCTGGGGTAGTAGCTAAAACAAAATTATTAGAAATCGAAAGAAATTAGCGTTCTCTACTAAAAGTTATGTATTTTACAACATTTAGTTTTCCTACTGAAGAACTTTACAAGTTGAGTGAGCTTCTTTCAATAAGACAGATATATACCTTATCAATAGTTTTACGAATACACAAACTTTTGCCTATTAACTCCGAGAAGAAGAAAAGATTGGGTAGCAGAAACTAGATACGTAAAAACTAAATTTGCCCAGCGTCAGTTCTATAGTATTAAACACGGACAGAGCTATACTAAAAGTATCCGCCTCACTTCCCTTTCTTTATCCTACTGTAGATCTATACAAACATTGGAAAATCCTATCTGTCAGGCAGCTCCTTATTCTACAATGTATCATTAAAAAGCACTCACTCTTACACTATAATTTACGATTGATAAAAGATAAGCGCAGAAATGATCTAGTCTATTACTACAACACGCATTGCACCAAATTTTCACATAATTTTTTTATCTTTCTGGGTAATTTTCTATATAATATAGTAAACGCTAGAATCGGTATATATTCACTTAATAAACGCACTTGCAAATTAAAAGTAACTCAATGGTTGTCAAGTCTGGACTATGAGACCACTGAAAACCTTCTTATTTCATATACATGGTTTTAGTACTGGATAGATCACACATACATACACACTCACAGATACACACACACTCATTCACACACACACAAACACACACACACACACACACACACACACACACACACACACACACATACACACACAAACACAACACAAAAGTAACTAATAATACAATGTATCTCAATTGGTAAAACCATGGTAACACAGGCTTCCGCCTAGTATAGACACCAGACTCTCAGCCCCTATTGGACACTGTTTTACTCTAACTTGTTAATTTAAGTTGTGAGAGTAAATATAAATATATTTTGGGATAGATATATATATATATATATATATATATATATATATATATATATATACATAGTTTTCTCATCTGGTTAGGTTCTACAAATATATAACCCACATGTCGGTCACCTCGTGAGCCAGGTCCAGATATTTTGTTCGTTTATCTGTTTCGGCTTTCACGAGGTTCTCGTCATACGGAATGGTAATGTCGATCAAAAATATCCTTTACTGTGCCCGGTCCATCAGCACAATATCAGGCTTATTCGCAAGAATAGTCCTGTCTGTGATGATGGCCCGGTCCCAGTAGAGCCTGGCACGGTCATTTTCGAGCACGGCTTCCGGCAAGTACTTGTAATACGGCAATTTTCGGTCCACGAGACCGTATTTCAGAGCGAGATCCTGGTGTAAAATTCTGGCTACTAGGTTGTGCCTGTGCAAGTACTCAGAGTTAGAAAGCGCCGAACAACCGGAGATGACATTCCTAAGTGACTCCCCGGGATGGCGACAAGCTCGACAGACGTCGACAATGCCAGACACAACCCTCGGTTTCCCCGATTAGGTCACCAAAACATAGCCAGTTGAGGGAGGCGGCTGTATCTACGTAGGGCTCATGTAGAGCCCTGTAGTACCTCCCGTGGAGCTCCTTCTCCTTCCATACGGTCTCCCGGTCGGAAATGCTCTGTACTGCCGGGTCCTGCCATTGCTCGTTGGCTAAGAATAGAGGGGTAAGTCCTTTATCACTAGAAATGACGTCATTATAGAATAGATCATCCGGTCTCGCCAGGAAGGAATGACGGAGGCTGCACACTTCGCGATTATGCATGGTGAGCGCGCTCAAGAAGCCACGCCCACCATGCTTTCGCGGCAAGTACAGCCTCATTACCGTTCATATCTCCTATAGTTATTGTAGTGCGGACTTTTCTATCCAAGGCGTTTAGTTCAGTCTGACTCCACCTGAGTATGCCAAAGGTATACATGAGGATAGGCATGACCCAGCCGTTATATGCGTGTGTCTTATTCACACCGGAAAAAAGGCTGTTAAGCACTTTGGTCAAGCGTGCATAAAACTCGTCGCAAACTGACTGTTTCATACCAGCCTCATCGATACCGATGTTCTGTGACATACCCAGGTATCGGTATGTTTCAGCCTCGGAAAGGGTCCTTAAGTTGACGGGAACAGATAAGTCTATGCCTTCAGATTTAGCAACCCTTCCCCTTTCAACATGGAGGACCGCACACTTATCCGTCCCCAACTCCATTCTAATAGAACTGCTAAATTCACAAGTGATGTTTAGCAGTTCCATAAGATGGTAGCGACTGGAGGCGAATAATTTGAGGTCATCCATATTGAAAAGTTATCATTTATTAAGTTATTATTATTATTATTATGTGGGGTATCTATATAGTTTTCTCATCTGGTTGGGATCAATAAATATATAATTTTAAATGAAAATGAAATACATAAATATCAATAAAATAGAATAAATACAAAAATACATAAATAAAAAAAAGCCCAACCAGATGGAAGCCCTCGACAGGGGAGACCAAACGGTTAAGGGTTAGGGGGAAAGGGAAAGAAACCGGCGAACGATGCGGGAAGTATCAAGGAGCACCGCCTTCTGCATTTAAGCCCGGAGCGATCCGTCACGGAGTCCCAGTCGCCTCAGATGACCAGAGAGGCTAACTGGGATTAGCCCATTCGCAGAGACGACTACACGAATATTTTGGTCGGCAGACCACCCCACATGTCGGTCACCTCGTGATACAGGTCCAGATATTTTGATTGCTTATCTGTTTCGGCTTTCACGAGGTTCTCGTCATACGGGATGGTAATATCGACCAAAGGTATTGACTGTGCCCGGTCCATCAGCACAATATCAGACTTATTCGCAAGAATAGTCCTGTCTGTGATGATGGCCCGGTCCCAGTAGAGCCTGGTGCGGTCATTTTCGAGCACGGCTTCCGGCAAGTACTTGTAATACGGCAATTTCCGGTCCACGAGACCGTATTTCAGAGCGAACTCCTTGTGTAGAATTCTGGCTACTAGGTTGTGCTTGTGCAAGTACTCAGAGTTAGAAAGCGTTGAACAACCGGAGATGATATGCCTAAGCGACTCACCGGGATGGCGACAAGCTCGACAGACGTCGACGGTGCCATCCTTTTGGATGTATCTCCGATAGTTGTTGGTCTTAATAACCCGATCCTGTATTACACAGACAAAACCCTCGGTTTCCCCGAAGAGGTCACCGAAACGTAGCCAGTTGAGGCTCTGAGGCCCTTAGAGTTAGCAACCCTTCCCCACTCAACATGAAGGACTGCACACTTATCCGTCCCCAGCTCCATTCCAATAGAATTGCTAAATTCACAAGTGATGTTTAGCAATTCCATAAGATGGGAACGACTGGAGGCGAATAACTTGAGGTCATCCATATAGAAAAGGTGGGTCACTTTTGTTCCTCCCTTCCGTAGCTGAAATCCTCTCCCGGAGCCCGCCAGTAAGGTACTGAGAGGGTTCAGAGAGAGGCAGAACCAGATTGGACTCAGACAATCGCCCTGGAAGATACCCCTTCTTATCCTTATGTGGTTTTCCGCGGCCATCATCCGCTCGCCCAGATAGCAAAGGATCGTACTCCATTGCCCCATACACTGCTCGAGGAAGTCTCTAACTGTACAGTCAATCTTGTACAGCTCGAGGACCCTCTTTAGCCATGTATGGGGCACCGAGTCGAATGCCTTTCTGTAGTCTATCCAAGTGGCGGAGAAATTCCGACGGTTGCGTTTCACCACTTTGCCAATGGCCGCGTCAATGAAGAGTGGTTGCTTGGTTCCACGACCACCGCCCCGACATCCATTTTGAGCGCGTGACATCACCTGATTTAGCTCCAGGTGACGAGTGATTTTCGCGCTCAAAATGGAAGTCAGTGTTTTATATATATATAGTGGGTAGACACGTGATGGGGCGGTATTTGCTCGGGTCTGTGGTATCCTGATCTTTAGGAACCAAGTGAGTGATGTCAGTAGTGAAGAGGCTCGGGAGCGACTTCTGATTGAGAGCCTCTTGAAACTGTCGGGCGAGCACAGCGTGACACACTACGAACCCCTTCAGCCAGTAATGATGCAGCCCGTCGCGCCCCGGACCTTTCCAGTTCGGGGCCCTACGGACCGCCTCAGCTACGTCATCCGGCGTTATGATGACGAGGTCCATGGGCGTAATACCCGCACACTGACTCGCCACAACTTCCGTCCAAGGGCCCTTGTTGTGGTTTACGGGCTCTGACCACTGGCTGCGCCAGAAAGCGACCGTGTCTGCCCGATTTGGTGCTGGGCCCGTTCCACTTACTATTCCAAATAAGAGCCCTCTTCACCTAAATATAAACACGATTATGGCCGATATATCGGCTGAACAAACTAACATTTGTCCCAGCAAACGCTATCCTGACGGTGCGCACAATCCTTGGCCTGATATTGCCTGACCTGAAGCATATCAGTCTGCCGATGAGGGCCCTAGCCTTTGCGATACGTTCTTCAATTCTTATTATCCAGGCTGGGATAGCACTACTTTGTCCAGTAGCGCGTCCAGCCGTGGAAAGTTTGGCGCCTATAATACGGCAGACTGCCAGTGCGGCGCCAAAAAGAATTGAGTCCGTCTCGCAAAGGTCCCGGCTGGCTTCCAAATAGGTAACCAGCATTGGGTTCAGAGCCCTCACGACAGCCCGATTCCGCTTGCTTAGGGCTAAGCGGGGGAAGTTGCGGTCGATTTTCGAGAGGCGTACTGCGCGTTTCCACAATCGCCTCTTCCAATGTACTCCTCATTTGCTCTAGTTCCAGTTCCTGGGCGACTGTTCCATCATCGTTTGAATCAACCACAACTGGCGTATTTATGGCGGCATTCACATTTGCCGTTTGCTCAGCAAGTTGTGGCGCCACATCCTCAGCTGCAGTATTTTCACCCGATGAAGGAACAGCGTCACGTCGTAGCCGTTCGAGTTGGGTGACATCAAATGTATTTGAGCGCAAGATATACCGAACTTGGTCTGTCAGGTTTTGCTCGGTGACGGTTACAGATGGCTCCAGCTTAGCAAAAAATCGATGCATCCTTGCCCGATACGCAAAACCTCCAGTTTCTCCCCCTTTCGCCCTAAAATACACCCGCAATGAAAGAAAGAAAGAAAGAAAGAAAAAACATTTATTCACGGTCTAATCACAATAGATACAAAACAGAGCAAGAAATTGGAATTAAACATAGTGGTTGCGCGGAAAACCATTCGTATTTATTTAATTTGACGGTAGGCTGCCAAATCGGTTATCCCATTTCAAAACGATATCATTCATACCCTCCTATCGACACATCGGGGTGGTGGGGTGGGAGGGGAAAGAAGATGATTCTAGAATGTCACGTAATCATCGGAACCGAGGATATATAAGGCACGCGCGACCGACGCGCAACTTTTCCCGCCGCGCTCGCCGTTGAAACCACACCGATTCTCTCCCGACGTATCTCTGGGGCCCCAGAGTGTCTGTCCAGAAGAGGTTCCAGAAGTCGCAGTTATACTGCTCGACCGCATAGCAGAAACATCCCGGTGAGTCAACATTTTCCTACTAGTATAGCCTGCTTGATATAATTGTTTTAACCCGCTCCAATTTTGTGTTTTCCTAATCAAGCAGGATTCCTTTCATCGATTTGGCTAATAATAGTTCGTTTTTAGGGAAGAGCGAGTGCATTGTACCGCATATATAAGTGTAGAAGCATTTTGTAGATACAGTCCACTTAGATTAATATCTCGCGTAATAGGTTTAAGGTTCGACCGGGGAACTAGACTTCGGCAGCCTTAAACACGTGGCTCCACCATTTTATGGTCCTTCGAGCCGGATTTGGACTGGTGTTTAGTGGTCCTCCAACCATTTTCTGGTCGAATTATTAAATTAATTATTTAGATAATGCACTCTAATCTATGGAATAGACTTAAATAGTGTTCGTTTAAATTTAAATTTTGATTAGGTACTCGCAAACAGAATTATTTATTTTATAGCGCTCGTATTTGGTTAAATTTAAAGCTTATTAAATAATTGAAACAGTGTAATAGCAACCGTTTGGTACGCTTACCCGACAATTTGAGAAAAATATTGAGTTACCGCAACGAGCAACGCGTCATCTCGACTCGCTGTAGCAGGTGTTTAATTACGTAATACGGCATACCGAGTGTCCATCGTCCATCGTTTATGCGTGTGAGATTAATTGTGATTAATAACTTTGTTATAATAATTTAAAATGGCAGTTAGTGGAAATGAATTTAAAATTAAAACGCTTTATGCCAAGAGGGACGTACTTTTTTCACGTATTCAAAGCATTAGCGATCATATAAAGAACATTAATGTAGAAGCGGTACGGTAAACTTTTCTGAATTAAATTGAAACGGTGGATTCTTTGCGGACGGATTACGAAAGAATATTAGACCAAATTAATCATTTGGAATTACAAATCGACCCGAAATACATAGTGAACTACCAACCGCTGCTGGCATTCGAAGATATGTTGTGTCGCGTGAAAAGAACGGCAAAACTCCTACAATCTCAAAACGAAGCAAAGCCGGAAATACAGGTAAGTCCACGTGACTCAATTAGGTTGCCGCCAATAGATATTCCGGTATTCAATGGCGATATTAAGACGTGGCCCTTCTTCCTCAGTAGTTTTCAAAACAATATACATAATAACCCATCGTTATCGGACGCTGAAAAATTATATTACTTAATTAGTAAACTTAGTGGCAGGGCACAGTCGATCTGCTCTGGTTTTACACCTACAGCAACAATACACATGAAGATAGGAGAATGTTAGCTTCCGAATATTTGAACCAGATATTCGATCTTAAACCTATATCATCCGCGAACATCAACGGCTTAGAGCAGTTTCTAGATAAATTTGTGGCATCGGTGGCACTTAAGAATTTAAAATTTAATGACCTTATGAACGTGGTGTTTCTCCATATTGCACTAAAGAAATTAGACCCCGACACCGTGCGTGCGTTTGAAATGGAGCATCGTAGCTCGGAGATGCCTTCCTTTCATTCCTTAGCATCGTTCGTGCGAGATCAAATAAAGGTGATGCAGCGCTCTCCGAACGTTAAACAGGAGATTAAAAGGTGCGTCGACCGTAGACAGACTCAACCATCTAAAATAGCAGGGTCGTTAACGTACGTAACCGCTACGTCAACATCACTTAAGCATACTTGTATCGTATGTAAAGATAAACACGGTAATTTATATAATTGTGCGACTTTTCGTAAATATTCACAAAGCGAACGTTATAAATTAGTAAAGACAAACAACCTATATCTGAACTGCTTAAGTGATAAGCATTTAGTTGCAAAATGCAATTCGAGTTCCGTATGTAGCAAGTGCGCCAGGAAACATCACACGCTATTACATTTTGAAAATAGCAACATAGCGGCGTCAAGTAAGGCGGACAAGGAATTCACCCCTACTAAGGTCAACGATTCTAGCGGTCGACCTGGTGATGTCGCTCTGTGCTCATTGGCAAATATGGGAGCACAACCTCCTTCAACCGTGTTACTGGGTACGGCGCGTATTTTGGTTAGGGATTCGCGTGGAAACGAACAAAGCGTCCGTGCACTGCTGGACAGCGGAGCCCAAAATAGCTTTATAACACGACAATGTTGTCAGCGCTTAGGCTTAGTAATAAATAGGTCACTTTCATGTCCTGTAGTTAAAGGCATCGGAGGTACTAGTAAAGCTACCCAGGGATATATTAATTTAAAATTTTATTCTCGGATAGATCGTAATGTTAACTTTGATATAAATGCACTAGTAGTAGATAGGGTCACTGAACGGTTGCCAACCGTTTCGGTTGACACCTCGGCAATGATTGAATTTAAAAATTTAACTCTAGCAGACAACACTTACGCCGTTCCTGGAAACATAGACATGCTCATTGGAGCATCGCTTTTCCCTCATCTTTTGCTAAACAATAAGGTCAGGGGCAACTCCTCGCATACCGCGCTTTACGCACTGGAATCCGTATTGGGCTATGTTATCATTGGCTCCGCCCCCATCATAGATAGTATTTCGGCAACCTCTTATTGTGGTATGGCTGTCGAACCGCTCGAGTCGTTAGTCCGCAAATTTTGGGAGACGGAGGAGGTGAACGTCCCACCCATAGCTAGCTCAGATGACAGGTTATGCGAGGAAATTTACGTCCGCACGACCGTTCGTGATCGCGACGGTAGCTATAGTGTAGCGCTACCCTTTAAAGGAGATGTTTTATCTCTCGGCGATTCGCGTCAAATGGCGGAAAAACGTTTCTACAGCTTGGAGCGTAGGATGCTCGCTTCACCCCAGTTAAAGGAAGCTTATGACGGCGTCATTAACGAATATATAAGAGAAGGTTACATATCACTCGTGGCTTCGAAATTAGATAACTACGAAGACACACTGTCGTATTTCATACCACACCACGGGGTCATTAGGGAGGACAAACTTACATCTAAGTTACGTGTAGTGCTCGACGCTAGTGCTAAAACTAGCACTCACCTGTCGCTTAACGATATCCTCTATAGTGGGCAAAATTTACAGGGCAGTTTATTTAATATAATAGCCAATTTTCGTTTGTTTAGTATAGCACTATCCGCCGATATTCGCCAAATGTTTCTTTGCATAGGGGTCCGTGAGGACAACGCATTTTATATCATTTCAACCCAAAGGAACCTCTAATGGTGTTTGAATTTAACCGCGTTTGTTTTGGTTTAAAGTCGAGCCCATTTCATGCGTTACGCACGGTGAAGCAGCTCGCCCACGATGAAGGTCCCTCTTACCCTAAAGCTAAGAGGGCAATTGAGAGCGGTTTATATATGGATGATTTTGTATACTCGGTCGATAGCGTGGAGGAGGCCACCCTAACCACCGCCGAGATTATAAAGCTCATGAAATCGGGTCAATTCGATCTTGTGAAGTGGACTAGTAATTCGCGTCCGGTTTTAGATACAATCCCACTATCACACCGTCTTTCGGCGATAAAGGAATTCGACGATTCCGATACACACAAGGTGCTCGGTCTGTGTTGGTCACCAGAGTCCGACGTGTTTAGCCTTAAGATAAATCCGCCCGTAGAGAAATGCACAAAGCGCACAATACTGTCATGCGTTGCTAGATTATGGGACGTCATGGGTTTCGTAGCTCCGGTGGTATTACACGCTAAGCTTTTGATTAAACAACTTTGGTTATTTGAATGCGATTGGGATGACTCGCCGCCTGACAGCATTGTTCGATTGTGGCAGCGTTTTAGAGAGGAACTTCCTTTACTAAGAGAAATTAAAATACCGCGTCATATAAACGTCGTAGATAGAAATAGCGTCATAACGGTCGTTGGGTTTGCAGACGCCAGCGAGAAGGCTTACGGGGGCGTTGTATATTTCCACGTTCAGAATAATGGTAGAAATTCGATTAGCCTCATTAGTTCTAAGTCGAGGGTCTCCCCCCGTAAGGTTGTCTCTCTGGCGCGCTTAGAGCTTTGCGCAATATTAGTACTCACCAAGCTAATTACCGCAGTTATCAGCGCATGTAGGGATAGAGTTCACATAGAAAGGATATTTGCCTTTTCCGACTCCACCGTCGCCTTATGCTGGGTTCATTCTTCACCCCACCGTTGGGATACGTTTGTTGCGAACCGAGTGGCCAAGATCCAAGACGAGTTGGAAACGCGGAACTTTTATCACGTGTCCGGTACGGAAAACCCTGCCGATTGTCTATCCCGGGGACTCACCCCGATGCAAATAATGGACCACCCGCTTTGGTTCCACGGACCTTCTTGGGTTCACTTGGATCCCTCGCAATGGCCAATAACCGATTTCGAACCTTCGTCAGTGTCACAACCGCCGGAAGAGAAGAGACACGCTCTAGTGGCGAACGTTTCGAGCGAGGTTTCTCCAATCATTGCTTTGCTGCGAACCGCTTGTCCTCTTGGTCGAAATTATTGCGTAGCGTAATTTACGTTTGTCGATTCGCGAAGCTTTTACCGCGACGTTCGTATGTCTTAGCGTCCGATTACAACTATGCCTAGTCGCTAGTATTACGTGAACTTC